AAAATTTATAATTAGCGGTATTTTTGTAAATGAACACCCATAAATATCATTTTTACAAATGTACACATAAAAAGTAGTATTTTTGCAATTTTCTGTAAATTTTCTGATTAATTCGAAAAACGTAAAACTCAAAAAACTTTTTATTATTTATACGTTTACGGTAACCATAAAGCAGACTAACCATGAAAACTCGTAAATGATGATTTTTTTTTTTTGAAAATATAAATGGTGAAATTGAAACATGGGACAATTACAAAAATGCCACTTTTTGTGTGCACATTTGCAAGAATGCCAGAAGTGTCTATTTACAAAAATACCGCTAATTATAGATTTATAAAACCTATATCTTAAAATTCTAAATCCTAAAAAATGTTTTGACACCTAAAACCCCATAAACATTCAAAACTAAACTCTAATGAAACATAATTAACCCAAATATAAATAATATAAAAAAATTAATTTTTTAAAAAATAGTATTTTTGTAAAGATTTCAAAAATATGGTATTTTTGTAAAGTTGCACTTACAAAGTGGCTAAAATTTCTCAAAAAAAAAATATTATGGAGGGTGGTCACGTGCTAAAAATGTGTAGGTGGGCTTTGGGCCACGGAGGTCTTGTGTGTGTAGGGGGAGAAAAGTGTTAGTCACGTGGATCCTGGAGGACTAAAGTGTAATATCGGTTAAGAATTAGAGATTAAAGTTAACGGTCAGTAACGGTGTTCGTTGATAAAGTGTTTAAGATCACGCTCTGTGGGTCCCGGTACCGAGACTAAACCAACGGCTGTGGTTTAATTAAGAGAACCACAACTCAATTTTCCAAATAACTTATTTCAATTTTTAAATTGGCTTATTATATCATTTTTAGTTGTTCAAGTTAGAACATTTAATAAAAATTCTAGAAACATATGTATATACTCCCTCCATTTTTAATTGATTGCTGTTCTAGATTTTTTTTTCTATAAAAAAATTGATTTTTGTTTTTCTATACGTTTTTATGAAACGATGATAATAAATTATAAACTTTAAGATATATTAATTGGTTTTATTGAGTGACTATTAGTTTAAAGTTATGAAAAACTATGGGGGCAATTGTAAAAATGTCATTTTGATGTGTATATTTGCAAGAATGTCATTTAAGAGTATCTATTTGCAAAAATACCACTAATTATAGATTTTTAAAACCTAAATCTTCAAGTTATAAACCCTAAAAAATGTTTTGATCTCTAAAATCCCATAAACATTCAAAACTAAATTCTAATACAACATAGTTAACCCAAACATAAATTATATAATGAAATTTGTTTTTTGAAAAGTGGCATTTTTGCAAAGATTTTGAAAATGTGATATTTTTGAAAAGTGGCACTTGAAAAGTGGCACTTGAAAAGTGGCATTTTTTACAATTTCTCAAAAACTATTTAGTACAAAAATAAAAGATTTATACTTAAGTATTAATGTTTTTTTTAATATATGCAAAACACTAAAACATCAAGCAAATGAAAACGAAAGGAGTATATTTTAATTTTTGAGTTAGACTAAGGTATTTTGATTATTGGAGCTTAGGTTTATTTAAGCATCAAAATTTAGTTTTAGACTAGTTTGTTAATTTTTGAAAATAGATCTTTTTGTTAATTTTAGTGCGAACTATAAAATAAGTTCCTTAAGAGTCGTTAACTAATTTTATGTTTTCCGTACAAATACATACGAATTAACAAAACATTTTTTTTTTGTTTTTGATAAAATTTTGACAAAGCATATTTGTCTTGTAGGCTTGTAGCTTTTAGTGTGATCAAAAGCCACTTAAATTCGCATCAAACCCAAAAATAATAATCGAAAGCCACAGTTTTGGATCCAAGAATCCTGTTTCTTGTAAATCGTTGAGACTTTTTCACGTGCATCACTGAAGATTTTATGACGACTCACGAAGACATTATAAGTCTCAGACCTGACAAAGAATCTTCGTAATCTCGGGCATCAGAACCATTAAAACTCATTTTTCATGTCCACT